GCTCTTTGCTTTGCGAACGAGAAACTTGAGATTCGAGAAGAGGAAGGTCAAAACGTGTGACTTTGATATGCTTCTAATTTATGCTTCTACTTCTTCTTCCAGGTTGATAGATATTAGTAGATATATGTTTCTGTTTTAACGCTAATCGTACTTTATTGGCTTTTAGAAATATTACAAGCGTAACTTTCCTGAAGCTTGCTCAAGCGAAATCGAAATTTTGTGTGTTAAACAGAAAAAAACCTTTTATTAATTTGTCCAACTACATTTCTAGTCAATCATTTGCTTTACTGTGCTTTCTAACAGGCTCCGCACATTCATTTTTCAACTGACTCATTTTATCCATAAACGCACCTATTGAACTCTGCGCCGTAGGTTATTGCGCATCGACTGGCAATACTCGTTGCTAAGAATAAGGGTCAATTCTTCTTCATTGATGCCGTTATTATATAAAATATTTGCCATTTCAAGATTGACAATATTCAATACAATGTTCAACAACTGCATTAAAACATTTGCATAATTATAGATATTTCGAAATATGATAATCGTGAGCTACCTTACTGCCATTTGTACTTGCATAAATTTAATTCATTAAAGAAAAGGCAGACGCTTACCTCAAAACTGGAAACATGGGTTAATTATATAAGACGAGAACGGGTAAAATAAGTCTCTATCAGTAGATCATCTGCCAATGAACAATACCATTTTTCAACAATAACTCGTTTTTCTTTTACTTCGTTTGCCCGCTGGTATTTATAATGAAAGTGACAACAGCGACTGAAATATCCCCTTATGAAAGTAGGAAGAAGAGGGCGGTGAAAGACTTGAAATCTCATTTTGGAAAAGTTGTGTCACTCTGTGACATACAGACATATCTAGTTGATTACGGGATAGCGTATCAGGAGCACCAGCGACGGATTCATCATAATGAGGCTAGGAGACCTGCGAGCACAATGATTTGAGGTGCATCTGGTACTGCAATTGCTCAAATATTACAGAACTTGATCTGCTCTCACTTCAGGCAACTAGGAGCAAGTGGGCCATACAACACACCACGAAATCTGGTCTTAGAAGAATCTCCGCTATTAATGCAATAGCCTCATGTAATAAAAGCCCATTGTCGCCAAACCGGGTTTGCTAGTTTCCTGGAATCAACATCTTGTTCTTAAGTACTTATTGAGAACGCAGGAGATTGCTCCATGGTATTTTGTCACCAATGTCCAAAAACATCTCATCATGTCTATCATTAGAGTAATATAAATGCATCACGGACGGTATTTTAAGAGCTTGCATTGTCCCTTTGCTTTCATCTGCCTATGGGGGCCACTCAAACAGGCCATGGCTGCAAAGCATTTGAGCACCACTAGTGCTGACGCATATTGTGGAATTTTGCTAGCTACAAATATATTCTCCCGAATGAGAAGTCCCAACCGCAATGCTTGTGTACGTCTTAAAAACACCTTCAGAAAAGAAGGCGAAACAGCTGCTACTTGCTCAACCTACCAGCTGAAGACCCTAAGAACTGACCTACTCCGTAATCCGGTTATATTATGCCGAAGCTCAAACATGGCACAGAATGAGAAACGCCTGAAAACGTTCGTAGCGCGTGTGCCTACACGGCCAAAATGAAAGGCCGTCGTCGAAATTTGGTTTCAGCTGTTTGAATAGCTGATATACAATATTGCGCAGTATCAACTTCATAGATTTTTGACTCAGTACATCAAACAACCGTACAGGCTATGTTAAAGAAGGACATTAAATAATGTTCTAAACTACCTTCAGATTAAAGTTTTGTATAGCATTACTTCATGATATACTTTAGCTCTGTTTGGTGTTACACATCATTTCGAAAACGTTACGTAGGCCAGCATTTCCTTACACTCATCATCGGTGCTGTCTTGTTCAGTGGTTCATAAGCAATAGAAATATTTAACTTACCGGAAGGGAGTCGGCCTGAAAAAGCGACCTGGTTCGGAGTCCATTGGCTTCCAACGCAGCGAACAGCTATGCAAACTGGAATGATTATCACCCGTTCCTTGGCTCAAGCTGAAGCTCATTTTGCAACGTTGTCATAGGCAACCGCGGACAATGGCGACCATTCATTATTTGAAACCACGCCCCTCACACCACATACTCCATGCACGTTAATTGATTTTGTTAATATTACTTCATGTTGAATTGCGCATTATCACAATCAGCACCGCCATTTGTCCAAGTAC